ATCCGGCTGTGCGTCTCTGCTTCTGTGTGCTCGGAGGGGAGGGCAGGCTGTCCTGTGTTCTTTCTTATAAGGACGCTATTCCCTCTGGACCAGGGTCCCCTGATGACCTCACTAACCCTAACTACTTCCTGCAGGCCTCAGCTCCACTTAGCATCACATTGGGGGTTGAAGCTTTCATATATGAATTTTGGGGGAGCACAGCATTCAGCTCACACTTATGCCCCAGACTGTTCCCTAGAAGTATAACCTGGGTAAGTGACCTAATCTCTCTGTGACAGGTTCCTCATCTGTAAAATGGGAATGGGAATGATATAGGCCTCATGAACTAATAAATTATTTAATGCCATAAGATGTTTTGGACAGACTGATTACCAGCCTCCAAGAAGGTCCACTGTAATTCTTTTTTTTTTTTTTTTTTTGTGGTCCATTGTGATTTTTGCCTCCTGGTACTTATGCCCTTCCATAAACACATTGTATCATGGCTGGTCTGTGAATGTAGCAAAGGAGAATGCAGTTGAAATGACAGTGTATGACCTCTAGACTAGGTCTTAAAAGACACTGCCATTCTATCTGGATCCTTTGGATCACTTGTGTCAGCAAAGCCAGGTACCGTGTTATGGGGATGCCCAAGTAGCCCTATGGAGAGGCACATGGCTGACCATGTGCACGTGCCCTCTTGGAAGTGGATTCTCCAGCTCCCGTCAAGCTCTAGCCAACATCTTGACCACAACCTCCTAAGAGGGCCTAAGCTGAAAGCATACACCATAGCTGCTCTTAAGTTCCCGACCCACAGAAACTGTGTGAGATAATAAACGTTGGTTATTGTTTAAGTTGCTAAGTTTTGGGATAATTTGTTATGCAGCAATAGATAAACCACAGGTGGCAGGTGCACAGGTGTAGCGGCAGGTCCCTGTCATCACAGCTACTCAGAAGGTTGAAGCAGGAGGATCACTTGAGCCCAGGAGTTCAAGCCAGTACCATTCCCAACCGGGATAACACTAAGAACAGTTTGTTGAGAGTCTGTCCTATGCCAGACATGTGCCTATGCCCAGGCAGGTGGGCATCCACCTCCAAGCTATCACTTTTCAGCATGGGACAGAGCCCTGGGGGAGGACAGTCACCCAGAGCCCCCAACTCCCAGGGGTACAGAGGCCCAGAGAGATCATGACTCTGCCTCGCTCACTTCAACGATAATCGGAGGGACATACAGAGAGGTTAGACAGCTTGCCCAAGGTGACAGACGCACTGATCCAGGGAGAAACTAAACTGACCTCAGCACCGCTGGACTTGGGCAGCCACCTTGCTCTCGGGATCTTGGGCAGGGGTTTATTGCATCTCACCATGCAGAGCACTCTGACTACTCTATATTAAGATCACCAGGACAGAGTCCCCTGCAGACCTTATGCTCCCATGTTCCCTGGGGCAGTGTCTTTCTCTGAGGGCCATGCCCTCCCTAGAGTTCTGGTAACCAACCCCAAGTGTTGTTCGGGCTGGGCCAGCAGGAGAGGCCTTGGGGCCCCGGTCCAGACTCCAGTGCTGAGGTCCGGAACACTCTGCTCCCTACTGTGGCACATGGGCCAGGTCCAGTAGCCTCTGCTCTGGCACCTGACTGCCCACTGAACCGTGCCCCAGACCCCACTGACCTGCCTCTGCCAACTGCTCCCGCATCAGCCAAGAGATCAAATGACCATTGGTTTGATCCTGTGATTCAGGACAGTTCTTCGAAGAGGACATCAAAGCACATGGCAGAGATCACAAAGCAGAAGGAAAACAGTCCCTGTGAGCTCCTCCCCACGAGGGTGCTGCAGGTACACAGAGGCTGGGGGGCCCAGAGCAGGGGCAGGCCAACCCCAGCCCCCCGGGAGAGGAGTGGGAGAGACACCCACAAGTAAGACCCGCCCTGTGATATACCAAGGAGGCATTTAAATAGGCCAGGACCACTGGGCATGAGGGGGAACCCAGCGCTGATTTTCTGTCCAGCATGACCATCCCGGGGCACCAAGAACCCAGGCGCTGGGAACATGGAAGGACCCCCGTGGATTGTCTCCATGGAGACACTAGGGGTGGGTGCTGTTTGCAAGCCTCCAGTGGAGATGGAGCCCAGAGGTCTCACCCTCCAGCCACGGTTCTGCCCCCTGAGCCAAGGCCTCAAAATCTCAGGTTTCTGAAAAGCCACCTTTCTAGTGAAAGTCGACTTGGGGGTCCAACGGACCATTTCTGTTTTGCCTACACTAGCTGTGGGATATGTGGCAACTCCATGCTTTGCCCTGTGCCTCTGTTTCTTCATCTCTAAAATGGGGATGATAAGCATGACCTGAACAACTGAAAATTGCTTGAGTAGATTTTAAGTGCTCTTGCCACAATCAGATGTGAGAAAATGCACAGTTGAGTAACTTGATTTAGCCACCCTCATTGGGTATGTATATCAACACATCATGTATGCCATGAATATACATAATTTTTACTTTTCAATTTAAAAATACTGTATTTTTAAGAGCACCCCCACAGGCGTGGTGGTGCACACCTGTAATCCCAGCACTTGGGAGGCTGAGGCAGGAGGATTGTTGCGAGTTTGAGACTAGCCTGGGCTACAAAAGTGAGCTCAAGGCCAGCCTGAACTGCATAACAAGACCCTGTCTCCATTAAAAAAGTCAATAGCACAAAAGAATGGGAGGAAAAACAATCAATTGCTATACATTAAAAGAGATTCACGAGATGATGACAGAAAATGCCACATGTAGGACTTTATTTGGATCTGACTTGGACAGAAAACTGTAAAAAGATATTTGAGACAAATAAGGACCTCTAAAAATGGTCTGGGAAGTAGATAATATCAAGGTATTATTACAGGCTTGGGATGTGGCTTGGTGCAAGAGTGCTTACTTAGCGTGAGAAAGGTTCTGGGTTCAATCCCTAGCACCATAAAAAAAAGAAAATTTTTGCCATTTTTGTTAGGTGTTTTAATGATGTGGTAATAACATGAAAAATTCTTCTCCACTGGAAGTGTATACTGAAGTATTTATGATGCCCAAGTTCATTTTAAAATATACTTTTTAAAAAAAGTATGTTGGGGTATAGATAAGATAGGATTGGGGAGATGCTGAAAGAGTTGAAGCTGAGTTTGACTGTATGAGTTCATTACCGTATTTTCTCTGTTTTAATATGTTTGAAATGTTCACTGATACACAGTACAAATAAGTAAAGGCAGCCGGGCATGGTGGCGGAGGCCTGTAATCCCAACACTGGGGAGGCTGAGGCAGGAGTATTGTTTCAAGTTCGAGACCAGCCTGGGCTACAAAGTGAGCTCAAGGCCAGCCTGAACTGCATAGCGAGACCCTGTCTCAAAAAAGACAAAAACAAAACAAAATAAAATAAAATAAAAAAAGGAAGGAAGTGACTGACAGAGAGGGAGCCAGTTGAATGTAGTGGTCAAGAGTTCTGGATCAGGACTGGGGATTTAGCTCAGTGGCACAGCGCCTGCCTGGCAAGTGCAAGGTCGTGAGTCTGATTCCCAGTACTGGGAAAAAAAAAAAAAAGAGTTCTAGACCAGATTTGCCAGTGATATTCCATAGCTTTATAGTATGCTCTAATAACTGCTCATGAGACTGGTTTATAACTTCCCACTTCTGATGCTGGCTATGTCCCTCACTGCTGGTGGACCTTCGCCAAGTGGCTTAACGTCTCTGAGCCTCTGCCACTGAGCTACCAGACAGGAGAAATCACGATCCCTGCCTCACTGAGTTTATTTGGAGAACTGAATGACAGGAGAAGAGAAGAACTTAGCACAATGCCCAGCACATAATAAGCACTCAATAAATGCTTCTGTGGAGGAGCAAAGGTTTGGGAATCAGGCTACCTTGGACATGAACCCTGGCTTGGCTCTGCCACTTGTGGCTGTGTGACTTTCAGCCAAGTCAATTAACTCTCTGAACCTCATTTCCTCCTGGGACAGAACTGAAGATCATTACACCTCCCCTACGGGGCTGTTGTGTGGATTAAGTGACGAGACATGTTTTGATGCCCAGCACAGCCCACATGGGAATTTCCCTTCCTCCCCCTTGACTCCGCCGGCCCTGCCAAGGCCGGGCTGGAGCCCATCCCACTGTCCCTGACCCTTTGTGCGGCTTCTGCACCTGGGCTCTGAGAGCGGCGGAGAAAGTCAACAGGCCCCTGTGAGTGGCTCCTCACCTATGCCAAGTTGGTGCTGGCAGCCCTCTGCTGGGCCCTGCTGCTCGGGCAGTCCCTCCTTCCGTCCAGGGCCTCCCTCCCTGTTCCACACCCCCCCACCCCGCACCCTCCCCGCTGCCGCAGCCCCGGAGGTTCAGCTCTCTCTCTCTTGAGTTCTCAAGACACAAGCACTTATTCCTCTCTTCCTCCTCTTCTCCTGGCCCCCCACCTCAGAAGCCGACCCCTCCCTCTTCCCAGGCCTTCAGCGTTTACTCCATCCTCGCCTCTGCTCTAGCGCCTTCTCTCCCCCGTTGCTGGCACCATTTAGGGAAAAAAAAAAAGCTCACTCAAATATCTTCATTTATTCCCCCCATCTGACTTCGACCCAGCTGCTCCCTAACTGAACGCACTCATCCATTCATCCGCTCGCTGAGGAACCATTTGAGCTGGGTGTGGTGGCACATGGCTGTAATCCTGGTACTGTGAGAGGCTGAGGCAGGAAGAAGATTACAAATGCGAGCCCAGCTTAGGCAGTTTAGCAATTTAGCAAGACCCTGTCTCAGAACAGGACGGGGACGCAGATCACTCATGTCTCTGTCACCGGGGCGCCTGACATAGAGTTAGCACACAGAAAAATGCCCGATGCATGAGTCAGTGGCTTTGCCACTTCCTTTTTAAATGACTTCTCACAAGATCTTTTCCTTCTCCTGATCCAGTTTCAAAATCTGCGAGGTGGGGCTGGGGATTTAGCTCAGCGGCAAAGCGCCTGCCTGGCAAGCGCAAGGTCGTGAGTTCGGTTCCTGGTACCGGAGAAAAACCAAAAAAAAAAACCAAAAAAACCAAAATCTGCGAGGTGAAGGACCTGGGTACTTCTCAAGGTTTGGAGAGATGGGCCGCCCGGCAGGGCCTCTTCAGGATCTCTGGTAAATGCTGTCCTCGGGTCTGAGGCAGCGGCGTGGGCTGGGAGGGGCTGCCGTGACTCATCGGAGGAGCTGTCTGATATTCCAGCAAGGGGCGCTGGCTATGAACCCCTGCAGCCCCAGGGGCCATCCCCTGCTCGCCAGCTGGCCAGGGGGACACCCATTTCTGCAGAAAACCCTGGGTACCAGCCCTCCTCTAAGGCCTCCGGACAGCCTGTTCTTGTTTACGACCCCCGTCCCGGGGGAACGGGATTGCACACCCTCGCATGTGACTGGAGAGGCTGGTCTCTGAGCGCTGGAGGAAACTCAAGCCCCGCCAGCCACTTGGCATCAGAATGCTCAGCTGGTCCCCTCTTCGGCGGGGCTCATGTGACCGAGGCTCAGCTATAAATATCAAGGGGGCCTCAGAGCAAGACAGAAATCGGACGCCAGGAAGAGACAGCGAAGAGGATCCGAGCTGGTGTTCTGTGGCCCGGGCAGGAGCCTCAGATCCGTGTAGAGAGAGGCAGGTAGAGGCGGCAGCTGCACCTCCGGACAGTATGGATTATAAGTCCAGCCTGATCCAGGATGGGAACCCCATGGAGAACCTGGAGAAGCAGCTGATCTGTCCCATCTGTCTGGAGATGTTTACCAAGCCCGTGGTCATCTTACCATGCCAGCACAACCTCTGCCGGAAGTGTGCCAACGACATCTTCCAGGTCAGGGGGGTCCGTGGCCGGCTCCTAGGGCCCCGGGAGCTTACCTGGCTTCCCTTCCCTCTCAGCCTGAGACCCCTGCACCAAGGGGTCTTTCCCTGCTGAGCGGACCCCACTAGACTGGGCTGGGGGTTGAGGAGGCAGCTCCGGCTGTCCCGGGCCTTCTCCATAACACATGGCCCCTCCCCACCCTCCCCACCCTGCCCATGCTGCCCGGAGCTGCTCGCTGTTGACTCCCCAGTGGAGAGTCAAATGCCTCAAGTGATAAGTGGGGGACGCAGGCGGAGAGGAGAGAGAAACCAGACTCCTGGGCCAGAGCCAGCTCCATGGTGGCAGGGGGCCCAGAGCTTCGGGAGGGGGTGACAGGCAGGCGACGGGGTGGGGGGTGGGCGGGTAGAGGTACCTTCCCTTTGAGGCTGTCTGCTCCAGTCTGGGGGCAAGAGGGCTCCACCTCCCTGAGAAAGGAGAGGGAGCAGACGTCCCAGCTGGGAGGCAGGATTAAAAGTCCCCAGGGGCAGGACACTGGATGTTCTTTCACTGGTTTGTTATTATGGTTTGAGTCTGGATGTCCCCCCAAAGCCTCCTGCAGTCATGGGGCAGGCTTCTAGAGTTAATGATTGATCCATGGTCCAGTGCTGGGATTGTGGGTGTGAGTGCTGCACCTGCCCTGGGGTGGGAAGCGTATATTGCTTATAGCGTATATTGCATACAATATAAGGGAGGGAAAGAGGCTTGCTCTCTGCTGCTCCTCCCTTTTTGCTCTTGCTGCTTTTGCTGTTTTCCACCACCGTGAACCGCTGCCCCTGTGCCATGTGCTACCCTGCCTTGAAGCCAGCCAAGTACGGACGGAAACCTCCACAAACTATGAGCTAGATAAACTTTTCCTTCCTTAATTGTGGGCATCAGGTATTTTGTCTCAGCAATGAGAGAAAAGTAACCGAGACGCTGCCCACCTCTGAAAGTGTAGCCCCAGCTCGTTCCGCTCCCTTATAAGGGCCAACTCAGGAGTAGGCAAACTGAGGCACAGAGAAAAGGTTGCTAGCTTACAGTCTCTCGTAGAATGAATGCGAGTTGAACTCAAGGTCTGCTGTCCCCCGAACTGGCCCACTGCTTGGCTCCTTCTCAGGTGCTCCATGTACAGGTGGCTTGGTTCCACATCAAGACGGGGAGCTCAGGGCCTTTTTGGTCTGACAGGCGTGGTTGGGGTAAGCAGGGCCAGGAGGATAGGACTAGGAAGGGAAGGGACCAAGGAGGGAGCGCAGGGGCCTCACTCTGCCCCGGCCACTTGCAGGCTGCAAATCCCTACTGGACCAACCGGGTCGGCTCGGTGTCCATGTCCGGGGGCCGCTTCCGCTGCCCCTCGTGCCGCCACGAGGTGATCATGGACCGTCACGGGGTATACGGGCTGCAGAGGAACCTGCTGGTGGAGAACATCATCGACATCTACAAGCAGGAGTGTTCCAGGTCAGTGCGCAGCTGTGGGAGCCCCCTCTCCTCCCCAGCCAGACGCCCAGGCCCCTTTGGGCCTCCCGTCCACCCCAGACCTGGTCCCTAGCTGGAGAGCCAGGCTGGCCAGCTCCAGAAACCACTGCCCTCCTCTCCAGGTGGGGCCAGTGACCTGGAACCCCCATCCCTGTTCTCAGCCTCCCTCAGGACTAGCAAAGGGACCCAGAGATCAGGTTGCCTTCTTGGGGGACACTGAGGGGAAAGTGGATTTAAAAGGGAGGGGGTTGGGCTGGGGATTTATCTCAGCGGCACAGCGCCTGCCTGGCAAGCACAAGGTCGTGAGTTTGATTCCCGGTACCGGAAAAAAAAAAAAAAACCAAAAAAAAAAAAAAGGTAGGGGGAGGGGGTCTGGGGCCAGCAAAGCAGTCCTGGTCAGCAGAGGCAGCGTCCAGTGAAAATGCAGCTGGGCTGTCTCCAAGGACAGCCAGAGTGGGCTGTGTGTATGCAGCACCATGAAGGAGATGGGGGTTGGGGGGTGCTTCCTTGTGGGGCCTCAGAGCAACCCCGCAGATGGGGCCAGACTTTTATTATCCCAGTTTGTGCAAGCAGAGGCTCTGGGAGTTGGTCAGGTCTATCTCGCTCTAAGTCTCCCTTTAATGAAAGAGCGGAATTCGTGATGGTGGCGATTGTGCTGTTTGAGGCCTCAAACTGGAGAGAAACAGGAAAAGATCTTTACAGAGAAGAATGTCCTGGTTGAGGACGCGGCTCAGTGGGAGAACATGTGCTTGGCAGGCAGGAGGCCAGAGGTTCTGTGCACGGCACCACAGAAACAAACACATGTAATTCCCAGCCTGCTAGATGTCAGATACACTGAGTGTGTGTTCCCCAAAGTCGAAGAATAAATTCTAAGGAACAACGGAGATTAAGAATGGGAAAATTGGGCCGGGGATACAGCTCAGTGGTATAAGCGCCTGCCTGGCAAGGGCAAGGTCCTGAGCTGGATTCCTGGTACCAAAAAAAAAAAAAAAAAAAAAAAGGAAAATTTATTGGGAAATAGGATTAGGGGTGCTGAGTGGGTTGCGAACCAGCCCACTTCTCTGAAGAGCAAAGTCATGAGGGGAGGGCAACCTGGGTCAAAACTATAATTAACCAAGAAGATTACAAGTACAGCCGCTTGGCTAATATTGACCCAATAATAGCAAGGGCATATGGATGACATCATTCACCTTGGTCAATGCTCTGTAGTTTTAGTCTTAGTCTTAGTAGTTTTAGCCTTAGTTTTAGTGGGTGGGAGAGGATGGCTCACCCCTAATGAGATAATGGTTTATCTAAACAGGAAATCTCAAAAGGGGTAAAACCAATAATCTGAAGCTTCCATTTATCCCATAAAGAAGTATGTAAATAATGGCCTTTGTGATTTTAATCTTCAGGTGTGCCTTCAATCACAGTTTATTTTACTTTATTTATTATTATTATTATTATTATTATTATTATTATTATTATTAATCTTTTTTGTGACAGGGTCTCACTATGCAATTCAGGCTGGTCTTGAGCTCAATTTTGTAGCCTAGGCTGGTCTTGAACTCACAACGATCCTCCTGCCTCAGCCTCCTGAGTGCTAGGATTATTACTATTTTTTGAGAGAGAGGGTCTTGTTATGTGGTTCAGGCTGTCCTGGAACTCACATTGATCCTCCTGCCTCGGCCTCTCGAATGCTGGAATTACAGGCATGTGACACTACGCCTGGCTTCAGCCATAGTTTTGATGTGTTGTCATCTTCTACACTGATTTCCTCAAGGGCCCAGCCCTGCCTATACTATTTCTACCTAATTTAGCTGCCTATAGTAGTGGAGTTAAGGCTTGTCCTGGGCCACTGGACCACCCTGGGCTACCCACTTGTACTTGTGTTACTTGGAGCACACACACTACCTCCTCTGAGCCTCAGAGACACCCCAGGGCATGTTTAACTGATTTATTCTTCCTGCCTGTACTTAATTACCACCTCCTCCATGCAGGCACTGTACACTGTAGACTCAAGGGTGAAGAGAATAGGCAACTTTCCCTGCCTGGATGGAAGGGTACAGTCTAGTGGATTAAATATAGAATTCAGTGAGGCCATCAGTAGAAATTGCTTAGCTCAGAGCCCAGCCTGCACCAACTAAGCTACGAGAACTATAATTAGAGTGAAGGACCTCTAGCCTCCCCTGCCCTGGCTCGCTGTGTGACCTTGGGTGAGTCAGTTCACTTTCCGGAGGCCCCATTTCCTGTTCTCCAAAACATCTCCGAATCTGGAAGTCTGTGCCCTTTCCCAAGTCTTTTGTGCTGTCAGAGGCTCTGGCCAGCTCCAGCCCTGGGGTTTGAGTCCCGGGATGTAAGGACAGGTTTTGTGGGTGTCACTCGCTTCCGTGGTCCCAGGACCCCAGAAGATGAAAAGTTTGGGAGCAGCCAGTCACTGAGGGCTCTGGGAATGCACCTGGGGTAGCCTCCTGTGGTTGGAGCCAGGGATAGGAACTCAGGAGCCCGCACCCAATGTGTGACTGTCCTCTTCCCCCACCCCCAGTCGGCCCCTGCAGAAGGGCAGCCACCCGATGTGCAAGGAGCACGAAGACGAGAAGATCAACATCTACTGCCTCACGTGTGAGGTGCCCACGTGCTCCATGTGCAAGGTGTTTGGGGCTCACCAGGCCTGCGAGGTAGCTCCGCTCCAGAGCGTCTTCCAGGGACAGAAGGTACAGGCTCCAGCCCCTGTTTCCTCCAGTGATCCGCAGGAGTGGATTTGATCCCCTGCGATCTGCTGAGCCGGCCTTTCAGGAATAGTCCCTCTGGAGGGACTTCCCAGGCCAATAGACAGCAGCCTTTGCGTCCTTGGGGGGAGGTGTCTGAGCTCATGGGTTATACTTAGAGCCACTTGAGAGCACCTGGGAGTGGCCAAGGGGAGAGGTCCGACCCCGGAGCCAGGCCACCAGGCCCTCTCAGGCCACGGTCTCTCCATCCTGAGTATTTGGGCCCAGATACCTCTTGAGCCAGACTTCAAATTCCCCTGCAGTGGGAAGCAGCTGAGAGCCCTCTCCCTGGGCCACTGGCAGCCCCTCCGGCCTGTCCAGGCCAAAAGCACTGGCCCTTCTTTCTGTATCCTTTCTCTTAATGCCCCCCTGTCTCTTTCTTCTAGAACTCTCCAACTCTTTCTCTTTTCTCCAGAACTAGCCAGTCTTCTGTTAGTACCTTGCTGTGTATTTTGGGCAGTTTCCCCGTCGGGGCTTCATCTGTAAAATAAAGAATACAGAGCTGGGTGTGGTGGTGCACTCTATAAACCCAGCACTAAGGAGGCTGAGGCAGGAGGATCACCATGAGTTTGAGGCCAGCCTGGGCTACAAAGTGAGTTCAAGGCCAGCCTGAACTGCAGAACAAAACCTTGTCTCAAAAAGACAAAAAAAAAAAAAAAAGACTCTCAAAAAACCAAAATAGGTAAATAAAGGATACAGTATCATTCTGATATTCTCCGCTCTGGACCTGAGCTATACCCCAGAAAGACGGATCACACCCTACTTCCCAGCAGAGAGGACTCCTAGGCTGCCGTGTTTATGCCATGTCTGAGCAGCCTGGCCCTGATGCTATTTCTGTCTCTCCTCTTTTGCCTCCTCCCTTCATCTAGATGGAGCTGAGTAACTGTATCTCCATGCTGGTGGCGGGGAATGACCGCATGCAGACCATCATCACTCAGCTGGAGGACTCCAGTCGAGTGACCAAGGTGAGGGGACAGAATGGCACTGCTGGGGGTTTGAGGCCCCCTGGTGTGACTGGTCTCCTGGGAAGGCTCACCCATGGGTTGGATAAAGATTGGGCCAGGAGCCTGGGGTGGCCAACAGGGTGGCAAGGGAGGGACTAAATCCACCATCCTCTTGCTCAACAAGCGCTTCTTGCGCACAGCTGTGTCAGGCCCCGCTCACAGTGTTGGGGATGGGGCACGACAAAGACAGACCCGGCTGCTGACCTCAGGGAGTGTCTCATCCTGTCAGTCACTCCCAGGATTTATTCAGCACGAATGACTTTCAGAACACTACTCTCCAGGGGGCTGTAGGCCAGGGCTTCTCAAACTTCAAGGGCACACACGTCACCCTGGGTCTTGTGAAAACTCAGGTTCTGGCTCAGTAGTTTCGGAACGAAGCACGTGATTCTACATTTCGAGCATGCGCCCAGGGGTTATACTTGGGGTTGTATTTCTAGCACGCGCCCAGACTGTACCCGCAGTCGCAAGGCTGCAGAGGGCAGAAGGGTGCAGTGTCCAGGATCACCCCAGAGTGGCCCTGGTCTGCGAGGGACTACTGTCATACCCATTTGACAGACAAGGCAGTTAAGAGATATATCGGCGTTGGGGAGGAGGGGGCCTTGCTAGATGGGCTGCTGGGGCTGCTGTCTTCCCACCTCCCCTGGGACCAAGTGCCACCAACTTCCCTGAGTCCTGTCTCAGGGTTAGCATTGAGAGAAGCGTGTACCTGGGGTATTGCAAGGGGTCGCGCCATGCGACCTGAGAGTCTCCATCGCTCTCCAAGACACCAGCCAAGTGTCACAGAGCAGCTGTGAGACCTTGCGGGCGCTCTCCTCCCCATAGCTTGCTTGCCTTCTGCCTTCTGTCAGATGGGCTTCGGGTTGCTGGCTCCTGCGTAGGGAGCAAGGACTCCCCAGGATGTGACTGTAGGGCTTCTCCCCTCAGGAGAACAGTCACCAGGTGAAGGAAGAGCTGAGCCAGAAGTTTGACACGCTGTACGCCATCCTGGACGAGAAGAAGAGCGAGCTGCTGCAGAGGGTCACACAGGAGCAGGAGGAGAAGCTCAGCTTCATCGAGGCCCTCATCCAGCAGTACCGGGCGCAGCTGGACAAGTCCACCAAGCTGGTGGAGACGGCCATCCAGTCCTTGGACGAGCCTGGCGGGGCCACCTTCCTCTTGGTGAGCAGGTCTTAGAGTCTGGGCAGGCTCCCGTTGTGCTCCCCTACTGACCACCCTTGGATAAGTCATTTAAATCTGTGAGCCTGTTTTCTCATCTGGAAAGTGGGCAGCAACAGTCCCTGCCTCCTCCTACTGATCTTGTGAGGTTCAAACAAGAGGGTGTTTGTGAAACTGTAGAAGCTGCAAAATGCAAAATGCAATGTCCAACCTGGAGACCATTAGTTGAGCACCTACTGTGGTCAGAACTAAGGGGGAGATGAACGAGACATAGCTGTGACCTAGAGGAGCTTATTGGGGATGACAGAAGAGGCTCAACTCTAAGACTTCAAGGTTCAGTTCATTAAAAAATTCCTCAGCTCCTCCCACGGGCTAGAATTTGGGCTGAACCTAGATCTGAAAAGGTGACTGAGTGATCATTCTCATCAGCATACTTCCATGCGTAGGCACGTTTAGGTGGATATGAGAATCTGGCTCCCTGCTAGGACAATTGGAGGGTCCTGGGTGCTGACCAAGACCTATACAGGCCATGGACAGAGGGGGGAAAGTCTAAGTTCTGTTCAGAGTGGGGCAGGGAGTGGGTCACAGCCAGGCTAGGAAATGACATCCAGTGGCCCTCTGGAATACTCAGTGGCTGGTTTTGCATGTTTCCTGGGGTCACCTCTTCTGCAGTCCTGACTCTCTACTCTCTCTCCTCCCACAGAGTGCCAAGCAACTCATCCAAAGGTCAGTGTCTTTCCTGGGACAGTTCTCTTTCTCTTCTTTTCTTTTTTTTTCTTTTTTCTTTCGGTACCAGGAATCGAACTCAAGACCTTGCTCTTGCCAGGCAGGCGCTTGTGCCCCTGAGCTATATCCCCGGCCTGTTCCCAGTTCTTGTAGGGCCTCTGGTGAATGTCCAGAGACACCCCATGCAACAGATCTGGGGGACTCCTATGGGTCATCCATTCTGCTTGAGACTGAACAGGAAACGCTTCACCCTGGGGTGGGGCTGTCACTGCAAGGCTGGGCATGAGCCCGGCATGGTGCTGGAGGGGCTGGACTAAGACACCTCTCCCTGCGCTGAGCTCCAGGATCTCACTGTGCCCCTCTCCCTCTCCCCTCCAGCATCGTGGAGGCGTCCAAGGGCTGCCAGCTGGGGAAGATAGAGCAAGGCTTTGAGAACATGGACTACTTCACTTTGGACTTAGAGCACATAGCAGACACCCTGCGGGCCATCGACTTTGGGATAGGTAAAGGGGGTGGTGCTACCACTTGTCTGCTTACCTGTTGACCGCTGAAAGCCAGCGCCCTCCCACTGAGCCCCGTGGGGAGGCAGATCCATTAACAAAGATTCCCAGCCGCCTGGCCAAATAGACACAGCCAACTTCTACATGAGCCCGGAGCCCAGCACAACGCCTCGTGGGGAACTGTCACACAGGAAGTTATGCATGGATCCAATGCTCATGGCATCTAGAATCAGACAGTCCTGAGCTCAAATTCTGATTCTGCCTTTGTGTGTTATCTGTGGGGCCTCTGACAAGCACCTCTCTGCCTCCTTGTGCTTAATTATCTAATATTTATTTTTATTTTAAAAAATTTATTATTATTATTTTTTGTCTTTTTGAGACGGGGTCTCACTATGCAGTTCAGGCTGGCCTTGAGCTCACTTTGTGGCCCAGGCTGGTCTCAAACTTGCTGGTCTCAAACTCACAATTGTCCTCCTGCCTCAGCCTCCCGAGCGCTGGGATTACAGGCGTCTGCTACCACACCTGACACTTTCAGGATCTTGTATTAGTTTATTTTCAGAGCCAGGTGTGGCAGTAGTTACCTGTAAGCCTGGCATTGTGGGAGGTTGGGGCAGGGGGATCACAAGTTTGAACTCAACCTGGGCAACTAAGTGAGACCCTGTCTCAAACTAAAATTTTAAAAGGCTGGGGATGTAGCTCAATGCAATGGTTCCGGGTTCAATTCCCAGTACATACGAACATATATACATGTGTACAAGTGTACATACATACATCCCCAGTGCAAAAAAAGAAATCTATTCTCAGAGACTCAGATTTAGCTCATTCATGAGTAAAGACAAAAATATGTCCCAAAGGTAAGACAACAAGGGACTTGGGCCTATCCCTGGCTGATGATTATCTGCTCCATGGCTACTGTCTTAGTTACTTTTCTGGTTGCTGAGACAAAACACCAAAGTTAAGGGAGGAAGAGTTTATTTGGCTCACAGTTTGTAGAAGTTTCGGTCCACAGTCAGCTGGCTCAAGGCAGGGCGGCATGGCGGTCAGGCATCAAAGAGGAGAAACAGTCCGTGGCAGGCAGAAGACAGCAAAGCAAGCAAGCAAACAGGACCAGCCTCTTTCTGACTCTTATATCTTATCCAGGCTGGGTAGCACTCACATCCTTAGTTCTAGCACCCTTAATCTTAGCACTGCACCACAAATCAACCCCAGCATCACATTAGATCCAGCCACCTCTGAAAAAGTCCCACCTATGACCACATGAGGCTTTGGGGGACATCTAGACACAAGCCTTAACAGCTGCCCTAACAGGCTAAGATATACAACAGCAGGCCTTACTGTGACTATCACAGTGAAGACCTGCACTGCCCTTCATTATCAGCCTGAGCTTCAGTTTCCTCAGAGGTAAAGTAGGGAGAGTAGCAACAGCAACCATTTATGGAGTCCATTTGTTGGCCTTTCCATGTCTTGGGCATAAACATAAATTCTATCATTTCATACAGCTTTGAGATAGGTTGTTATCATCCAAGTATGGTGGTGCACGCCTGTAATTCCAGCACTTGGGAGGCTGAGGCAGGAGGATCGCTGAGAGTTCGAGACCAGCCTGGGTTACACAGTGAGCTCAAGGCCAGCCTGAACTGCATAGTGAGACCCTGTCTCAAAAGATAAAAACAACAACAACAACAACAACAAAAACAGAGATAGGTTGTTATCTCTGTTTCAAAGTTGAGGAAACTAAATCTTAGAGGGGCTAAGTGACGGGTTCGAGGCCACATAGCTATTAAGCAGCCCACCTAGAGCTCACTGAGGGCCACCGCACTCCTGAGATTCCTGAGCTTATATGAGACCATATGTACATGGCACTCAGCACAACACCGACCACAGAAGTCCCCAGAGAAGGCTGTCATGAGTAGGAATTGTGACAATGATTAAACAACCACAACAAAGCTCCCTGGGTTATGTACGGATCCCAGGTACTTGGCTGGAATTCTGGCTGTCATCTCAGAGGCATTTGGGAGACACTCTTGACAAATTCTCTGTGTGATCCCGAGGGCCTCAGAGGATTAAGGAGGTGGTGTGCGAGAGGGTGCAGGGAGGGCGAGTTCCTTGTTAGGAAAGCTTGAAGGTGACATCCCAGAAGGAGAAAGCAAGGACACAGGTTGCAGCTCTGTCACTGTCCCTCTCATGCCCAGCTTCAGAGAGTTCCGGAGTAGAGATGGTCCCAAAATGCCCCCACACCCATTTCCTCCTGTCTGTGAAATGAGAAGGGGGCAGGTGCTGAGCATGCAGGTTCCCAAGGCTGAGCATCTCCCTCCAGGACAGGAACTCTGATCCCCGAGCAGTCTCTGTTCCGTTCTCCGCGGGCGATGCCCGTCTGTATGAGATATGCTGAGTGTTAAGCATGCTTCCTCCAGGCTCCCGGGCCACAGGCTGAGCCGTAATAAAAGCCACTGCTGTGTTGAAGCGAAGGATTCCTAGAGGGGAGAGGCAGGGGTGCCACAAGGGTCTCTGTGCAGCCTGGACCCTCTTGGGCGCCTGGCACCTCCTTTTGCTGTTGAGCCTGACTCTGCATGGGGACAAGCGCTGCCTGCAATGTGGGTCCTGTCCCAGTAGCTGCTCTGAGAAGCCAGCCCCATCCTAACACAACTGGTCTTTGTCACAGAGGAGGACGAGGAGGAGTTCACTGAAGAGGAAGAAGTCCAGGAAGAGATTTCCACAGAAGAGAAAGAAGAAGGTAAGAAATCCACCTATCTCCGTTCGTGTTTTTCCCTGCATCCCTTCCTTCTTCCTTCCTTCCCTTTTCTCTTCCTTCTTTCCTTTCTCCTATAACATGAAGCACTCACCGTGTGCAAAGTGCTGTGTGAGGCACTGGTGCTGACACCTGGTCCTATTCCCAGTGTGTCTTTTAAACCTGTTAAAGATAAAGTCCTGTTATCTTTACCCTTAAATAAAGTGACAACAAAAACACCAAACCATTCATGCTAAAAGCTCTCTTTTATATCTAAGGAGGCTCCTAAATGATAAATAATACAGCACAGAGAGGGAAAAGACACCAGGTTCAGGAGCCAGGCTGGGCCCACTGATCAATTGCTAACATTTTTTTTTTGTCTTTTTTGAGACAGGGTCTCGCTATGCAGTTCAGGCTGGCCTTGAGCTCACTTTGTAGCCCAGGCTGTTCTAGAACTTGCAATGATCCTCCTGCCTCAGCCTCCCGAGTGCTGGGATTACAGGTGTGTGCCACCATGCCCAGCTTCTACCATTTTAAAATTAGGAAATTATTTTTAAGGATTAGAAAAAAGGAGATTTTGGCTGGGGATCTGGCTTAGCAGTGCAAGCACCTGCCTGGCAAGCACAAGGTCCTGAATTCAATTCCCAGGACAAAAAAAAAAAAAAAAAAGATGATGTTTAAAATATAAAATACAAACACATTGTAGGACTCTCTTATGTGGATATTTTTACTAGTAATCTGCATTTCCACTTCTGGTGGAAACTTGGAAAAAGCAAACAATGCTGGGCTTTAACTTCCCCTCAGGCCCAGAGAGGCAGCTGTGGG